GCACAGAGCCATGCCCAGGTACTTGAGAACAAACCAGAAAAATAGCAGAGGTATTCACACCCTTATCCAGCTGCATGACATCCTTAACTGCAACCAGGCAAAAGGGTTTTCTGTCTCACCCCTCCATTTATGTGGGATATGGAGAACTGCATTATTAAAAAAGGCTGAATGAACCCTTTCCCTGCAACCTGAACTAAAATCCTCTGGTGCTCTGAAACACTTGGGCTGATTGATTTCCTCTCTAAGCTTAATGTTTTTCTTCTCTGGGTTTCTGAGTTGTGACTAGAAAGCAAATGCCAGAATATCCCAGGCAGAGTGTTTGCCTGGTGCATCTGGCTCAGATGGAGTCAGACACCGCAGCAAATTAAATGTGTGCAGCAGCAGGTGAAGTGCAGCTGGTGCCTGCAAGAAAAGTGCCCTTTGTGACAGCATCTGTGCCCAAAGCTGAGACAACCCCACCCTCCCCGTCTAGGGGTCAAGACCTCGTGAGGGGAAAGGCAGTGTGAGAGGGGAAAGCCATTTCCAAGAAGAAATAGGAGCTATCTGAGAGCGGTTTTTGCAGAAAACTGGTTGGATCTCTTCCCTCCCTGCCGTGCCCTGCTGTGGTAAAGCCCAGTTCTCTGGCAGGAAAGGCAGTCCCTGGGTGTGCTGCAGGGCTTGAGCTCGTTTCAGGACAAGGATAAGGATAAGGATAAGGAGTTTCATTTCCCAGCTGGGCTCAGCTAACACTTGTTCCTCTCAAACAGCAAGCGCTGTGTGAGTGGAGGGCTCTGTCTACATCTCAGCAGCAGCTGATTTAGGAAGGTTGAGGGATCCAGGATGGCTGGAAAGGTGGGGATCCCTGTGTAAGTGCTGATGGCCAGCATGGGACCACGGTCAGCAAAGCTAAAGTAGAAACCAGAAGGCCAAAAGGCAGTTCTTTCCAAAATGTGCTGAGCAGAGCCCCAGGCTCAGCATCACAACTGAAACAGCCCAGACTGATGAGGGGAAGCTGGTGAAGGAGCCAGGAGGGCTTTTCAGGGACAAAGCAGATATTCTGGGCTTTCAGCAGCAAGATGCTTTTGTCTGGAGGAAGTCTGCTCCCCTGGCTTCTAATTTTGCTTCTGTTCTTCTGCGTAGGGCTTGGTTTCCTCAGTTCCATCCAAGTACTTGAGGAACAATGAAGGAGGCATGAGTGGAACTGGAGGCATCTGAAGGCAGAGCAAACAGCACCACTGTTTCCCTGAGTGGTCTGTCTGGGTTTTTTTGGCTTTGCTTCTTATCTCTCCCCGAGCTTCAGACAAACCATTGAAAGCCAGGTCCGGCCCTGCACATCCTGTCTCTTTTTTACCTGCTGGAGGGTTGCCCACCATGTCTCAGGGGGCAGGAGCACTCCAGTGTCTCCTGGTGTGACCCAGCAGTGCTTCCCAGGATGGTCTGGTTGACCTTTGTGATGCTGAACCCACCAGCTGTGCCGACAGTGGAACAAATTGCTTCACGCAGAGATGTCCTGTCTCCCAAAGCAGCCCCAGAGACAGGATGTCAGAACAATCTCCAGCTCCTGAAAGGGCTGGGAATGGCTTTTCAGCTTCCCCTTAAATATCCAGGGTGATAACTTGTGCCAGTAGATCTGCTTGAAGCCCCACTTTCTGCAGCCTGACAGGAATGTGCTGAAAGACCCCTGGAAAACAGCACAGTTCTGTTTCCCCTCCCTCCTCCCCAAATGTCTGCCACGAGGAGTTCCCTTCAGTGGCATCAAAGGTGGGCCACAGCCACTCTGTGCCTGTGGGAAATCCTCACCAGCCTTTGATTGCATCCTGCTCTGTCCCACGCCCTGGAGGTGCCAGGGATTTGGGAAGGGCTCAGCAGCAGCTTTTCTGAGCAGCAGATCCCAGGGGCAGATTGATTTCTCAGGGATACCCCCTGCATCCCTGTGTTTCCCCCTGCAGATCAGAGACCTGGAGCCAGCTCCCTTTTCACTCTTGGCCACCTGCCCTGTCTGTCCCCACACCAGCCAGCACTTTCTCTTTGCAGTTTTCACCGTGTTATCTAAACCCATCCTCCTCGGTGGGGTTGGAAGCAGATGATCCCTGCAGTCCCTTCCCACCCAAACCATTCCATGATCCCTCAGGAGGCTTCTCATCCTTTCCTGGGGAGAGAGGCAAGGCAGGTGCAGGGGCTGGGAAGTTGTGATGAACCCCTTGCACTGATAAAACACGAGCTGCCAGCCCCGCCCCAGGATGGGCAGAGCAGTCTTGTTGGCACTGCAACACTTCACAAAGGCTTCAACACACTCCAGCAGCCTCCTGCCTGGTGCCACGCTGATGGAAAGGTGCTGACAACAGGGTGATTTTAGCACCCTGGTTTATTGACTCTGCTGCTGAAGGGCAGGAGCAGACAGCACTTTTGGGGGAGAGGGAGGAAATGAACCCTCCTGTTCATCACCACCTCTCTGCTGCCAAGGAGTTACAGAGCCAGCACCTCTGGCAGCTGCAGACACCTCCCTGAGTGCTCATCAGCTGGCACAGCTCAGCAGGCAGCTCAGAGCTGGGATGCTCTCTAAGGACCAGTGTCCCTTCCAGTAGCTCCCAGTCACCTTCCTGAGTGCAGGAACGTCCCGAGGAAACTTATTTTTGCTCTTCCTTGCAGCAGGCTCAGGAAAGAGGAGTCCTCAGGCCTGGCTTTGGGGAAGGAAGCCAAGGACAGGTCCCCAGCGAGCTGGAGTTCCTGGAGCACAGCTGCAGGTTGCACTTCACTCGGTGTAACTGGAGTAGATGCTCCGAGTGTCCCGTGTCCTCCCCTCCCTTGTGACTCAGGCACTCGTGTCTCTGCTGTGTGGCCAGGGAGGAGCTGGCCTGGAAAGCTGACAGGGATTTAATTGCTTCTGGCATCTGAGGGCACCCACCCACAGCCTGGGCTGGTCCTGCTTCCCCACACCAGCGTTTCCATGAACTCATGCCCTGGCAGAGGGGGAAATGAGCAGCACAGCCGTGACAATCCCTGCAGCTCTGAGCATCCGACGTGGACAATCCCTGGCTCTTCTCTTGAAAAGTGCCTCTGTCGCTGGGCTCATAAATGTCCCTATTTTTTGTCCCTGGGGTGTAGATCCTTCCCTTGGGCTGCCACCACAAAACCTGGGAATGTTGCCCAGCCTGCCTTGGCACTGCTCTTTCACAGGGGGACGATGGCAGCCCCAGCCAAGTCCCAGGGGAGGATTCCCAGAACGGGGTGCAGTTGGTGACCCATTCTGCGGGCACTTACATACCAGGAGGACCAGCAGAGGGAAGGAACCCTTGGCAGGCCCTCTCTGATTATTCCTTCTTTAATTCCTTCCATTCATTCTCACCAAGTTCTCCAGCAGAGCTGGAAACAATCACCAGTGACCACTTAGCTCAGAGAAAGAGCAGGGAGGGGAGGGAGGACAGGGAAGCTTCCCTGAAGCCATTCCAGTTACAATGAAGCTGTTAGCAACACCAGCGGAGAGAGAGCACAAGAGACTGTCCAGAACATGTGTCACTGGGCTTATATTACCATGCAAATCCTGCCAAATTAACCTGGAGAGTTATTCACAGAAAACTCAGCACTTGGAGCGTTCAGCTGCCCGTGATGGGACGGGGAGCAGCACATCCTCTCATGGTATGTGCAGCAGGTTCCAGCTTCCTTTCCCTGGCCTCCCTCAGAGGAGGAATGTAGCATCCTTCCAATAAATTCCATGTTGTCCTTGGCTCTAAAAGATGATATTCCTGATTTCAGTTCAGGCTTGACAGATGGTTTGTATTTGCACTGCCCCCAGCTGAGAACTCCAATAACTGGAGGCATCAGAGGGCTGATAACCACTGAGACATGGCATCTTCCTAATGACTTCATCTGCACTGTTCACTGATGAGGGAGGAGCAGGAAAGTACAAATAAACATGGACCTGAGCACAGGCTGGATGGAAATGTGTTTTAGTGTCTTCTGAGGTCCTTCAGTACCAGGTTGGTGCTGTGGCTTTGAGCATGGAGATGTCACAGGGAAATTAAACCCATACAGAGTTTGGACTTTAAAAAAACCCCAACAGTTAAAACCCATTTCTGTCCTCCTGCAGCACCCTGCTGAGCAGAGCTGTGCTCTGAGCTGCTTTGGGAGCTCTCAGCACAAAGCCCTGCCTGTGGGAGTGCAGAGGAGGCATCACCACATCTGTGGGCACAGTCCCTGCCTGGCACATCAGCCCTGCACGCAGCAGGCTGGCACAGCTGCCCTCAGCGCTTGAGCCGAGGCCGAGGATGCTGAGGATGGCTCTGTGCTCTCTACAGGAAATTTAGGATCAAAGCAGTTTCACCTCAGAGCTCTGGCACTGCTGGGAATGCCTTGTTGTGGGCTCTGCCTGTGCCAGGACACCCTGAGGTGCAGCCTGAGCTGTGTGTTCTGCTACTGAGATTTCAGGCAGATTCATTTCCCCTTTGTTATTAAAATTTTCTGTGAAGGAAAATACCAAATGAAATCCATTTTTTGCTTTATTGGGAAGGCTGTAGCAAATAACCCTGAATTTCTTTGCAGGACCAGCCGTGGGGATGGTTCACTACAATACTTGCACCACAGCCAGGCTGAAGAAACCTTTCCTTGTAAAAGCAGCTGGATTAAACAGGTGAGCAAAGGGAACAGCAGCTCATATCAAATATCTGTACCCAGTGAGCAGATATGCCCCCAGGCAACACCTTGTTATCCTGTAGCACGATATCTCCTTTCCATGGAACAGAACTTTCTTGTTTTTCCTCAGTCCTGCCAGAAGCTGACAAGTATTTTTCTCCCCCCCTCCCTTTATTTTTCTCTCCAATTCACTTGCACCTGTAGCAACCACTGGTTATTCCTCAGGGTGGTACCAGGGCCATGCAGGGCAAGGAGACTGGAAAAATCAATCCTCAGAAGGAAGAGAAAAATTACCTTTTACCCTACGGCGCTTTGTGGTGTGGAACAACAGGTACAGCGTGGCTGGTGCTGCTGCAGCCGATGCCTTGAGACAGAACAGAGAGAAACTCCCCTGGGGCATTTGGAACCTCCTTTATTTCTACAGAACACTGGAAATGGTTACAGGGGGGAGGCAGGGGAACAGCACCCAGCGGGAACACACAGCCTGCAGTGATGACGAGCAGCACACAGACCCCACCAACAATGCTGCAGAGGCCGCGGGGATGTGATGGGATGGAGCTGCCCTGCCTTCCCCTGCCTGATCTGTGCCACCACTTCAGACACCCCTGGAATCCCGAGGGAGCCCCAGCTGAGCCGGCTGAGCATCAGCTCTGGCCCCGTGGCAGCTCCGCAGGGCCCCGGGGAGCCGATGAGCGGGGACCGGGCGGGGAGAGGATGGCGTTGGCGATGCCAACTCACACCCAGGCCTTGACCTGAGTGTTCCAGCCCCTGGCACAGCCGCAGGGACCACCCCCCTCGTAGCGGCACCACCTGCCCCCCTTGTAGACGGCCAGGCTGTAGGGCTGGAAGCACATGAAGAGCCGCAGGCGCCGGGCCAGGCTGCAGTAGATGGCCATGGCCACCACGATGAGGGGGGACATGATGACAAAGCCCAGGATGATGAGGGCAGAGGAGCTGTTGTCGTCCAGGATGCTCTTGCAGTAGCGGGCAGATGAGTGCAGGACCTGTGGGGAGAGTGAGACAGAGCTCAGAACAACAGAGCCACTGAGAGTGGAAAACACCTCCAGGATCATCCAGTCCAGCCATTGATCCACACTGCCAGGTCCACCCCTAAGCGACACATCTACAGCTTGGCACAGGCCCGGTGGTGGGTGGGGGCCAAAGCACCCTTGAATTCCCAGTGCTTTCACACAGAGACACCTCTTCCCCCTCTCTGAGCTGAGCTCAGCAAACTTCAGGCTGCACTAGGGGGTGACGTCACATCTTCATCAAGATTTCAGTTTTTCCAGCATCGCTGTGAGACAAGGACACTGCACACTGATCCTGAAGCAGGAAACACTGATCTTTATTAAATCATCAAATAGCATTTGATAGGCAGCAAAAGGCCTCCTGGTGCTACATCGGTGTGTGTGGCACAATATTGGAAATTACAGCAGAATAAATAAAAATACAGCAAGATGTGAGATCCTGCAGACAGAGCTTGGTCATTCCGTAGCTTCTTGCTGGCTGGAGACCCCTGCCCTGGAACAGACCCTCTGTGTTCTCTCCTCTGTACACACTGGACTCGTTTCTGCCTCTGAGCATCTCTTTGCACTGAAAAACCTGCCAGGAAAGACCATTCACTCCATTTGCTGCACAGCAAAGACTAAACTAGGCCTCGCTGAGTGGTATTTAAAGCCTCCTTCGGTGCTGGCAGCAGCAGAGCCGAGCTGAGCACTCAGTTGTGGTGCATTAACAAACGCTGCAGGCAGCCCCCACGTCCCCAGACTTCTTTCCTTTCTCCCTGTCCTTTCAGCAGTAAAAAAACACACAACCCATCATACTACAAAAAAAAAAACCCAAACAACAATAAATCCATCTAATGGACCTGCAGTGCAGAAATCAGCCCCTGGCTACCGGGAAGGCATTGAAAGGCCCAAAGACAAAGGACTGCTCTTGTGAGGCCGATTGCCACAATCCCTTGCTATGATTGTATTGAAGAAAAGTCCGTTTTAAAAAGACTCCTCGAGGCTTCCAGCAACGCAGGGGCTTTCACTTCTGGTCTGTTTGGCTGCACTCAAAAACCTTTTGCATCTCCTGAAAGCCTTTGGCTGTTCGTGCAAAGAACTTGAGGTTTTCCAAGGTGAGGGAAGCTGGAAGGGGCAATTCTGGGAGCCAGTTCTCATCTTTTCTTCCCATTTTCTGCTCAGTTTGAAGCCAGTAATTCTGACTTACGAAACAGTCATGTTGAGCTGGTCTAACAGTTAATGCCTGCGAGGGCAGCAGGAGAACTGCTTTTTCACCTCCGTGTTTTGTCAAGTGATCCTAAAAATATTTATAGGAATATACCAAGAAGGAATGTGTAAGGAAATAATGCAACTCAGAGGACAACAAACAACTGGAAGAGCCATGCACACAACCAGAGCCTTTATGGGCAGAGGGGGCTCATTTTTGGTGTGAGGAGCTGCACAACATATTTAGGAACACATCTGAATGTTAGACTGTAGTAAGGAGGGGATTAAATATTCTGTCAGACTTCATTAATTCTATCTTGAGGCATTGGGCAGAACCAATACTACAATACTTTAACAGAAAGCAGCAAACCCTTCCAGAACCCTGGCAGGACTGTGAGTTACAGAGGAGCTCAGGTTGGCAGTTCTCAGTCACGGACAAGAGAGAAATGTTGTGACATTAAAATGCAATGATTAAATGATTAAAAAGCATTTTAATCAAAATCAAATCAGGGAGTGTGTTCACCTCACCTGGCACTGCTGCTTGGTATTGCCATGGGGATACACTTTATTGCCCAATCAAGCTGCCATTTCCCACAGTCCCTGTTCTTGTCAGCCCAGATCATACACATACCCCCCCTTAGGGAAAAATCTGTCCAGGCACACACCCCTTATGAAAACAAAGCCACAGCTTGGGGAATCTCACCTTGCCTTTACAGCCACTGCTCAAATAAACCCTCAGGGATGGCCCTAAGGTGGCTGGGAGCAGCCAGAGGGAGCGAGGCTTTCTTACCTGGGAGTGGCACTGGAAGCCAAAGTAAACCACCACAATGGTGGGGAGCAGCACGATGGTGAAAATCACAAACATCAGCAGCAAGTTAATGAGAAAGACCAAGGAGTTCATGGTGCCTATGACCAGGGTCCAGGCCAGGCAGCACCAGGGGTTGCGCTGCTCCCTGGGCAGGAGCTGGTCATCCATGTCATAGGGGGGGAGGCCGGGGATCATCCGAGACTTCTCTGAGAGGTTTTCTGCTCCAAAGTCCTCAGTGTCCTGGGCAGACATTCTTCAAGGAGATCAGTCAGCCCACGCTCTTGTCCAAAATGGTGTCTTTGCTTTCGGAGGCAATTTGCAAAGGCTTTTTCTGCCTCTTCCCCACGTGGACAAGAACCCCTTAACCAGAGATCATTATGAAGCAAGGAAGGAAAGATCTCTTTCCTTCTTTCTTTTCTTTGCCACCTGCTTCCTCAGGACCTTGCCAGCACAGGTTGTTTTCTTGAGGTGGTTTCCCAGCAGTGTCCCAGTCTCAGTTCCGAGTAGATCTGGCTGCTGGAGGTTTGATAGTAGTTATTATTTTGGTTTGGAATCCAGAGCTCTTTTAAATTTGCTGTTGTTCTTCCCGGGATTATGATCCCAAGAGGTCCCAAACAGTCACTGTCTTAGCTGTGACAGGCTGCTCAGCTCCAGAAGGTGACTGGCTTTATGTCCTCCTCCTCCACCTCTGAGCACTGCTGGTTCTTAGGAATATCAGGCACTGACAGACACTTCCTTGTCTTCAAACCATCTTTCCATGCTCTTCACCCTGTAACCATGTAGATATTCCTGCTCAAGCCTCACCCAAATGAGGTGACTGGTGGAGATAAACAACAGGAGCTGTTTCTCCCCTCTCTGGAGTCCTTGCCCACACGGTGCAGACCTGGAAGCGGAGATGGGAGCGCTGTGTGGTGTCACTGCTCTCAGCTGTCTGCGCTCACAGACACTCAAATCCAGGCAGTGTCGTCCCTTCTGAGCCAGCTCTCAGCTTTGCAACACTGCTTTGTTTACAGAACAGGCTCAGAAGCTGCTCTCTGTGCTGGCCAATCCTTCACATCTGCCTCACCAGGGATGTGATTTAGCACTCAGCACCCAAGAGCCACACTCGAACCATCCATCCCCAGGGCAAGATGGTCCCTCTCCAACTTCAATTATTCTGCCTCTGATTCATTTTCTAAAATTCCTCTCTAGATTAAAAAAAATCTCAGGGAAATTGATAACAATCACTCCATACCTCAGAAATCATGTGTCCCCTGCAGTCATCGCTGTTACTGATGGCAGAACGTATTGATATTCTTGTAGTGAAGGCTCAGCAATTATCAGTTATTTAATCTGCCTCATATGATCAATATTATTTAAGAATTGCAGAGGCATCTGCATGTTTATGTAGCTTTTTAGATATATTCATGGTAATAATAGAGAGAGAGATTAAAAAACACAGAGAGAATCAACCTTTAAAACAGACATCAGAGTATGAAACGTCCATTTTCATCGTGTTCCTTCACACGGCTCCCAGGGGAGGTTGCAGGGCACTCAAAGCTGCAAAATGTGAAATTTCTTCACAGATCTGTCCAGACATCCAGAGGGAAATAACTGCTGAATCCAGCCTGCTTTCAGTGCTGAGAGACAGTGTTAATAAAGCCAGATGGTGTTGGGTGTAATAAATGTGACAAGTGGCATGGAGGCAATGAAAGAGTCCCAGTATTTACTCCGCCATCTAAAAGCTGCTGATTTAAAGGTGTAATATTTTTCAAGCTTGATTTGTGCCTTATTAGTGGAAAAAGGACAAGTCACACAAGCACAAAGAACCCAGCATAAAACTATAGGAAGAACAATCAAGGTTGGGTTTAAATCATGGGAAGATGAGCTTGGTGCTGGGCAACTCAAAATCCTCCAGCTGGTTTTGCCATCTGGGGAGGGCACAGTGGGGTAGCACAAGACAGAGCTCCTTAACTAGTCATAAAAATGCCATAAATTCTAAAAAGCTCTGCTAAATCCAGTGAAAAACTTTCCAAAGTTCTTTTGCTGTAATGAGAACGCACTGTAACCCGTGGGAGGTCTGTAAATTTATTTTCCTTTGGAGAAAGGAATTCGACACAAGCAGATTCTAATGGCTCTTCTGATATTGTGTTAAACAAATCCCAGTGATAGCAAGAGAGATTGCCCAAGCCTCCAATTCTGTGAAATTTCTGCTTCTTTAAGAAGCACCTGCCCAGAAATGGGAAAGATATCTGGCTGATGGAGCAAAATTCCTACCAGCAGCATCATTGCTTTGAGATGCTGGAACTGGTAATGATTAAAGAGAATCAGACAAACTCATTAGTTCTCTGACGCCAAGGACCGTTGCTCCTAAGGAATAATTTTCTGGCAGCACCATCTTGTGGTTTGCTACGGTTCATAAATTTTTATTTTACGTCTCACAATCTCTCACACACACAGGACGGTTCCACCCGGGTTGGAATCGTCCCAGTCACAGCGAACACCACCAAATCTTTGCTTTTAGCATTGCTGTTTTGGGCATTTGTTGGGGGTCCCACAGCCCAGAATCACAGAGATGAGAGCACACGGTCTTGAACTGTGCCAGGGGAGGTTGAAGTTGGACATCAGGGAGGATTTAATCACAGAAAGGGGGATTGGATATTGGAAGGGGGTGCCCAGGGAGGTTTGGAGTGCCCAGCCCTGGAGGTGTCCAAGGAAGGGCTGGACGTGGCACTGAGTGCTCTGGGCTGGGGGACAAGGTGGGGATGGGGCACAGGGGGGATCCATGGGCTGGGAGGGCTTTTCCAACCTCAGTGATTTTGGGATTCTGTGAGAGCGGACGAGGCGAGGCGGGGGGAGCGGGGCCGGGAGCCCGGGGAGGGCGGAAAGGCCGGGGAAGGAGCAGAAGAAAGGGCTGGGAAAAGGATCGGGGGAAGGAGCAGGAGAAAGACAGAGGAAAGAACCGGGACAACGATCGGAGGAAGGGCAGGGGGAAAAGAGACAGGACCGGGGGAAGGGCCGGGAAGGACCGGAGAAAGGACTGGGAGAAAGATCGAGGGAAAGGCCGGGAAGGGGCGGGAGGAAGGGCAGGAGAAGACACCGGGGGAAGGAGCGGGACGGACGGAGGGAGCCGGGGGAGCGGCGGGGCCGGGCGAGGGGCAGGGCCGCGGCCGTGCCCGCCCCGGAAGGCGCCGCCGCAGCCATGGTGGTGCTGAGCGCGGCTCGCTGGCTCCGCAGCCGCCTCACCGACCGCTTCTGGAGGGTGCAGGAGGTGCTCAAGTACGCGCGGGTGAGTGCGGGCTCCGAGCAGCCCTGAGCCCCCCACCCTGAGCCCCCCGCGTGTCCCGGCACTGCCGAGCCGCGTGTGGGGTCCCGAGGCTGTTCCTGCTCCATCCCCGCGGGTGTCCAGGGCCAGGCTGGACCGGGCTTGGAGCAGCCTGGGGTAGTGGAAGGTGTCCCTGCCCGGGGCACGAACAACAGCAAGAATCCTGAGAAGGAATAAATACAAGCGCTGTGAGAAGATCAGTCTGCAAATCGATCGTGCTGTAGGCTGGTGTTGATTGTGGGGTTTTTTCGTTGAGAGGGTTTTGTTTTTTTTGGTTTTTTGTTTTTTTTACTGGGCAAAGAAGCTGGAAAAAAAATAACCTTGCCCTTAAGTGCGCTTTGGAAGGGGGGGAAAGAGGCTGATGCACGATGGGATTTCAATAAAGTTCAGGCTACTGAACCTTTCTCAAGGGCGTCCTGGGAGGTGTAGTACATCTTGCTGTGATGTTGAGGTAGAAAATGGTTTTGGCTCCATGCTGGACCAACATTTTCTAGCCTGCTCCGACTTTCCAACCTTACATTTCCCATGCTATAAACCAAGGGAAGAATATTTTCTTTACATGCCAGCGGAATGTTTACCTGACGCTTGTGAAGCGTCGGGTGATCCTTGCTGTGGAGAGCTGTGAGATGCCAGTGAGCTTATATTGGTGTTACTGGTGGGGTTTGCCAGCCTTAAACATAACGAGAACATCGTGTTTCTCCCGCAGCATTTTCGTGGGAGGAAGAACCGCTGCTACAAGCTGGCAGTGAGGAGCGTCCGCAGGGCGTTTGTGAGGTCCACAAAGGCCAGGAGAGAGAAGAAGAGATTCCTGAGAGCGGTAAAGAGCAACGTGTTGGCTGTGGGTGACCAGTGACAGGACCCCAGGGAATGGCTGGAGCTGTGTCAGGGCAGGGTTGGGCTGGATCTCAGGGAAAGGTTCTTCCCCCAGAGGTTGGTTGGGCACTGAACAGAGTCCCCAGGGTTTGGTCACAGCCCCAAGGCTGCCAGAGCTCCAGGAGTGTTTGACAACTCTCTCAGGGACAGGGTGGGATTGTTGGGGTGTTTGTGCAGGGCCAGGAGTTGGACTGGGTGGTCCTTCCAGCTCAGGATATTCTGTGATTCTATGGAAATGTTATATTTAATATGAGCAGACCAGCGTGTCAGAAGCATTTTATCACTCAAGATGTTCGTTTTATACCCTTTCAGCTCTGGATCACAAGGATTGAAGCAGCTTCCCTTGAGCATGGTTTGAAGTACCCAGCCTTCATAAGCAACCTGGTTAAGGTAAGGATGGGGCTTGGGGAATAATTACTTACTAATTCTAGTGATGAAAGGCCTTCTGCTTGTGAAAGCAGTTTCATTCACTTCAGGAATTAAGTTGTACCTAAACCTGTTTCTCTTCCTTACATGCATCATCCCCTTTTACCCTGATGGACATTGTGGTTCTACACCTTGTTCTGTCCCCAAAACTCTTACTGAGCATCTTAAGACTTGTCAAATGCTCTTACACTGTTGCTATTGTGGGCATTGAGTGACAACCTGCTTTCCTTTTACTTGAAGAAATTTAAAAGTACAAAGCTTGGATTAGAAAAAAAAAAACCCACCCTAAGAAATCTCTATTCTCTTCACTGACTTTGTGTTTTGCTGAGCATGGACAGTGCAGAGAACTGGTGCCACTGTTCTTAGACATGCTGGGAATTGGTTTTAATTTGTAGATACAGGTTTTTAATGTGTTGAGACTGTTGGTTTTAATTTGAACTGGTTTTAATTTTAATCGGTTTTCATTTGTTGATACTGTTTTTAATTTGTTTGAGCTGAAACAAATGCCATGGGTTAACCTGGAACACATGGCCTGGAGCAAAATAAGAGATCCTTCATCAGCTCTTGGTTTCTACCAGAAAAACTTAGCAAACAGATTTTACACATGAGATACCCGTGGCCAGGTAGTCACATCTGACAGTCTTTAACAATTCCAAAATTATACAGGGTAGAAAAAAGGTAATTTCCTTTAAGAACTCAGGTATTAAGCATGAAGAGTGTTTAATGAAATTTAATGAAGAGTGTCTACATAAACAAGAAAGAGTGTTTATTACATTTAATGTTTAATAAAGTGTGATTAAGCAGTGTTGCTCCTAAAAATTACACGACTTAACCAACAAATTTTCTTGCACTTAGTCCCAGGTGGAGCTGAATAGGAAAGTGCTCGCTGATCTTGCTATTTATGAGCCAAAGACCTTCAAGTCCCTGGCTGCTTTAGCCCAGAGGAGGAGACAAGAAGGATTCCTGGCTGCCCTGGGAGATGGAAAAGAACCAGAAGGGATATTTTCACGGATTGTGCGCCACCACTACTGATACCAAAGAGTCTGTATATTTGTGTTATAAACAGGGATGGGATTGCAAAGTAAACCTGCTCTGGGACTGCTGCTAAGATGGAAAATACGGGACAATGTCCCCTAAGGATGGTTCCAGCAGGATGAGGTAGGGGCTGGGTGTGAAGCTTCACCTTGGTGGCTTTTCCCTGTGTTGTTGTCACTGAAACCTGTTAAATTAAAAGCACAGTTCAATGTTAGCAGTCAGGCCATACAAGAACACACATACCCTGTTCTCTTAATAACTTAATAAAGATATATTTTTTTTGTAACTTTGGAAAAAAATTCATTTATGTGGCGAATTCTGGCGCTGGACAGCAAAA